TCATACTTGCTGTTGCTCTTGCTTGTTTTGTATCATTTGAAACAAGAAGAATTAAATTTAAATAAAGGACGACTGAAACTGGAAAAAGAAAAATTTGATTTAGAGAGAAGAGAGAGAGAAGCAAAATTGAAGCAGGATGGCGAGGAAAGAAGATTGTTTTTAGAATTACTTATGAAAAGTTTGAATAAAAATTGAATAAAAAATGTTTATAAAAACTGAATAAAAATTTTTGTAAAATTTAAAAAATTCTTTATTTATTTATTACATTCTAAGTATTTGTCCAATTTGGGGGTAAACAATTAAAATAATCTGATGTTGCACTACCGTATAAGAAAGTGTGACAGTTTGTAAGTACTGCACCAACAATGTACAGTTTACCAATAGGCTGAAGAAACAATTTCAATTTTTTTTTTTTTTAAATCTAGAAAAACAAATATCTGAATTATTTTCCCAAATACCCATTCCACACTCTCTCTTACCGAACTCATCTTGGAATTAAATACTTGTTGCTCGGGTGTTAAGCTAGCACCTCAGAATGGTGTAATGAGGTGTCGACGCAAAGGATAACCAGAATCTCCATATAAAACAAATTGGATCCCGTTCTCGGAACAAGGAATCGCAGCCAACTGCTCTAACAAATTAGATTCTNTATTTGTCCAATTTGGGGGTAAACAATTAAAATAATCTGATGTTGCACTACCGTATAAGAAAGTGTGATAGTTTGTAAGTAGTGCACCAACAATGTACAGTTTACCAATAGGCTGAAGAAACAATTTCAATTTTTTTTTTTAAATCTAGAAAAACAAATATCTGAATTATTTTCCCAAATACCCATTCCACACTCTCTCTTACCGAACTCATCCTGGAATTAAATACTTGTTGCTCGGGTGTTAAGCTAGCACCTCAGAATGGTGTAATGAGGTGTCGACGCAAAGGATAACCAGAATCTCCATATAAAACAAATTGGATCCCGTTCTCGGAACAAGGAATCGCAGCCAACTGCTCTAACAAATTAGATTCTGTTAACATTCCACTGTCACGACGTCTTCCTTCTAATGGCCCAAATAAATTAGCAATCATACCATCGGGTGTAACCACTGATTGAAATTTCAAACAATGTATACGTTTATGGCCATTGAATACCACCCTTTGATGTGTTATTGGTCGACAAATAGGACATGCCGTTCCATCTATGAACCCCCAACAATTTGTCAATGGTGCATCCTTTGCTGTTATTGCTTGGCAGAATAATTTTAATTTTTCTCTTGTTAGTTTTATTTCGTCGATATTCAATAACAATTTGGAATGGCTATTGTAAATTATACTCTATTTAGTGTTTCACGTATAAATCGTGAAAGTTCAGTTTTTGTTCTCCCCAACAAAATAGAAATACGAGGGTAGTCCCAGAAGTACCCGACCTAACAAAGAAGACACAAAAAAATTGATAAAACATATCTTTATTTTTCAACATAGTCTCCTTTTAGCTCGATACACTTTTTCCAGCAATGTACAGTACAAGATATCTTATATACGATACCCAATTTCTCCAACTTATTTTGTCCATTTTTATCCTGTTTAACAAATATAAATTCTATACATAATTTTATAGAATACTTTCTAAAAATTTGTTACAATTTTCAAACTTAAATAACTTTGAAATTGTAATATGTAAGAAAAGGGGATATATTTTAATTCTTTGCTAAATTTTACCTTATACAGTATCATGTTTTCTATATATTCTCTTATTTCTTCTTCATGTGTCATATCAGGTCACCCTGATGTTGGCGAACACCCAGAACTTGTTAATCCAGATTAGTTTGCGCGCCAAGTGATGTTCTGGGGAAGTTAATACCAGAGTGGTTTCCCGTTGCCTTCTCTGGATACGCGATGTTACGCGGGGAGAAATGCCTTCCGGGAGGTCTTTTAAGTAAGATTAAGGGTAACTGGCCTCTATTCAGGCGCTATAGACGTGGAGAAAACCCGGAAAATTCCACGTGGTCAACCCGTCCGGTCGAGTCGCGAACCAATGATTAGTGTAGTGTTCAGGGACGAAATCGCTCGGCCACTGGTAAGCCGTTCTCTTATTTACTTTTCTATTATTTTATTAGGATATCCATTCAGCAGGAAAATTTTTTTGCTCTTCTAGTCTATTGTTTTTTCTGTTGTACGTGTGTAAATTTTCTATGTAAGAATATTGCTGATATTAGCTTTATATTAATCGTTTATATTCGAAAAAAAAAAATGTAATTTTGTTCAATTATGGTAAACTCTCCATTTAAAAACTATTTAAGTTTGAAAACATAATGACATTATTGTAAATAAAATATTCTAAAATATCCACGAAATATATTTTTTAAGACATAGGCTATTGTAAAAAATACAAAATAATGGACATACACGAATAAAAATATTCTCGTTAAAAAAATTGTGTGGCGCTATCTGCTACAAAATGTTATTAAAAAATAATATTTATATTATTAATTGTATAAAAAGACAAAAAAGAGCTTATAGATAGAGATGAGTTTTTAAAATTATTGTAAATGCCAATAATGAATAAAATTTTTCATTAAATCCGTTCCCACTAGAAATATTGTTCCCCAGTCGAGTTCCGTAGTCTANAAAAATAATATTTATATTATTAATTGTATAAAAAGACAAAAAAGAGCTTATAGATAGAGATGAGTTTTTAAAATTATTGTAAATGCCAATAATGAATAAAATTTTTCATTAAATCCGTTCCCACTAGAAATATTGTTCCCCAGTCGAGTTCCGTAGTCTAAAATTTAATAGCAATACCTCTTATATACAAGTTACCAAATTTCGTTTCTTTCTTTATCCCTTCCTAAAATACGAAGTATTCAACGAAATACTTACAAATACATACAAGGATGTTTTTTTCCACTTTTTTGGGTTTAGGCATCTCTAACGTCGAGAAATCCCCAAAAAAATCAGGAATCTCTTTTGTATGTTTTGATATTAGTATGTGTGGGGGATTTCTCTCCCTCTACTAAGCTCTTCTGTGCTGTTCGTCGAAAACGTCTGAAATTTTGCAAGGAAGTTTGTGTATTAGAAGTGTGAGGTCCCGGACATGTCCGAACCGTCACGAGAGTCGTGAAAATCCAGTCAATTTAGAGAAATATTTAATTGTTTAAAAAGGCAAGGAAAAATGTGTGTACTCGGACACCCTTTGTTCATATTAAAACTGCGGCGCAGAGTCGTAAATCGTAAAAGGAATGTCGTCCATTTCCGATTGAAAGATCAGCTTCGAATTTGACTTCTCCTGCGCTCCAGGTAAGAGTCCCGTTAATGTTTAATAACGAGGGACCAACCACTCGGAAAGCGCGAGTGAGGGCGATCAACCAATCCTAATGGCCAATAAAAAAGACGGAGATTGATATAATCCCCGACTATCAAGAACACATCGCATTGAGTTGATTATTAACGTTTCAGATAGCCAACACACCGTGTGTCAATGCGCAAAGAGCAGTTTCCATCCGGAATATTCAAGAAGTCGTGTGCGGCAAAGTGTGTTGTGTCATCCGTCGCACCAAACGCGAGTCCTCATCCGCCCTGGGGCTACGACCGACCAGCTGAAACTTTCTTAGAATCGGAGATACGTCGCTTCTCAGCGCCGAGACAAAATACCGCAGATTCAGATTAACGATTGTAAATCAACTCGTCATGTAAGCATCCTTCAGTTACAATAAACGGGTTTTTATAAGCCACTTTGTCATCTCTGTCTCCGACATTACCACCCACACCTAGTCTGTGTAATAGGCCTTCCTGACGCCGAATTAACTATCTCCCCCCAGAAAGTCGGCAAACTCAAACTGATGTCAGATAAGTGGGATTTTAGGTGCCCGATCTGCCACCAAGTCGGCCAACACACAGAAGGATTCAATCTATTAAATTTTGGTCGTTAAAGGTCGAGAGGGTAGGGAGATAAAGGTGGTCCCTCGAACTTAATGGTGAGTTTGCTAGTTATTAGGATTTGCAATTTATAAAACTCATCACCATCATCAAAATTAAGCTTTTTGCCGTTTTATAATAATTAAAAATATAAAAAATTAATAAAATATCATAACAGATGGCTTTTCACAAATTTTAAATGTAGCCGGGAAAGTTTAGCAACTCGTTGCTTGATTATTTTTTTACTACTTATTTTAAATAAATTATATAATTTTAATAACTCCTGTGCTTTTTGATGAAAATTTCTATAAATGTTTGCAGAATGGTTTGCTTACGAGGGGNTAAAATATCATAACAGATGGCTTTGCACCCAATTTTAAATGTTGCCGGGAAAGTTAAGCAACTCTCAAGAATTTTTTATAGTCTGTGTAATAGTCCTAAATGGATAAACTTTGAATTCGCCTAAATAACGGATTTTTATTATTATTAATGAATGTCAGAGAGCGTCTAAACTAAAAAAAAAATGTTTCATTGATCATGAGTAAAGTACAGCGAAGTCTTAGAAATTGTATGAGACACATCTTTTTTTAAAATTGCCCCGACATTTGCCAAAAATTTACTAAAATGTCCTGTTTTCCTTTGGCAATCGACAACCTTTTATCAATATTTTATATAAATTAAAATATAGCTTCATTTAGAGAGAAATTAGTAGTTTAATATGTATACGACATTATAGAATACAATTTATTGTTTTTATTTTGTACAGAAAACGTAGATTAAATTATGGATAATTTTATTTATAATTTATCCATGGTTATCTTATATTGGCTCATTATTCAATATTTGAATATCAGGATCACAATTTACAAGTTTTTATACTAAATTAAAAATGAATATTAAATAAAAAGCAAAGTATTGTAATCTAATAAAAATCCATTAATTAAAAATATCTTGTATTAGAAATAGTATCATATAATTTATTAAGAAAGAAATTCATTTTACTTAAGATAAAAATTCTGAACATATATTCAAGACTTAACTAAATCATCTCGTTTTTTTCACATTATGTTCATAATTTAGTCCCATGATATATTTCCATTATTATTTATTATTAATAATTAGCTAGTAGCCTATAATAAATGCTAATAAAAGCTATTATTAGAGATTACCATCTAATCCAATCCATTCAGGTGGAAATTGTTTATTAAGAGGGATGTTGTCTTTTAGGAATTCTGGATTTTTTGGCAGATATCCGGAAAAGTAAACAGTCTCACCATTACCTAAATAAGCACTCCAAAATCCGAATGATCCATAGGTTATTATTGTGTGATTGCATTGGGTCAAAAGAGCCATATCATAGGCAGGTTTTGATGAAGCTGGTGTTATTATCACATCTGGGCTTATATCTAAATTTTTCTTACACCATTTTCGGTCATCACTAACAACAAGAAAAATTACATCATTGTATTTTATCCGGAAATATTCCATTGCTTCTCTAAAATACTGTAAGTTTACTTTATTTCGATGATATTTATTTAATACAACATAATAATCAGTTTGTCGGACGTGAATACCGACAAATATTGCTGTGGGATGTTTTCTCAAAGATTTGAGATACGTTTGAACATGATTCAGAATATGTGTCTTAATTTGAAACTCTTTTTTAATTTTCTCTTTAATATGGTGATAAAACGTGTACGAATTTGGATTTTTGTGACCACATAAAACTTTTTTGTCACTTGGAATATGATAATCTTCGGACCGTAAGAATCGAGCTATTTGGTATTCCCTTGTTTCATTCGGAAGATTATAAATCTCTTTAGCTGTTATGAGAAAATAAGGTTGAAGATAAACAATATTGCAATGTTGTGCGTATGGAGTACGATTATTTAAGGCAGACAATCCTAGTAATGCAGCATAGGTGCTCATTTGATTTCCTAATCTACCTTTATTGCAACAAATTGCTAATGAAGAAGAATCTTGAAAATTATCTGTAACGAAAGAAAATAAAAAGATCTTTTAGAATTTAACTTATGATAAATAAGCTACCTTTGTAATTTCGTTAAATATATAATTATACATAAGGCCGGCCGCCTAAGATGAGAGTCGGGAGTTTACTCAATTGATATAATAAGAGCTATTGGATTAACTCGTAATGAGGTTATAATGTCCGCGAAAATAAAACATTTTCATTCCACATTTTTATTTTTATTTTGAAAAATTGTAGACCAGGGGTGTCCAACCTTTTTGTTTCTCTGGGCCGCATTGGAAGAAGTCAAGAGGATTTGGGCCACAAGTTTTTATAATATATACTTGTGGCCTAATATACAAGTATATTTAAAGATTAATATGTGTAGATTATAATAATAAATATTAAAACTTTATCACGAAAAAGGATATTTTTAAAAATTACTTCTATAGACACTTTCAATTTTTACTTAAAATATATAGAAATTCATTTATTTTTTTCGAATATTTTACGTCAAACAAAAAAAAGTAGCCACATTTGGCGCAAATGTAGCCAAATCTTGCAACGTTGGAAGAAATACTAAATAAAGCTGGAGTTGTGATTCAAAGGATTATAGGCCCAAATGAGGGGGAAAGGAGGAAAAGGACAGAAGATAAAGATGTGAGAAAGGTTGGAAAATTAAGGGTCAATATTTGCATAACAGATCTATTTACCCTTTCTCACTACTTTTTATTTTTTTGTCCTTTCTCACCTTTCCCTCCTTTTCCTAAATTTGGGTCTATAATCCTTTGAGTCATAACTCCAGCTTTATTTAGTAATCCTTCCTCATTCACACATCTCCAAATATTTGAAAATATTTCCTTTCCGCTCAAAAATAAAATATAAATGAAGATTTACGGCTTTGTGAAACTTCTTTTTGAGTTTACGCCGTTGAAATAAATAAATAATAAAAAAATTAAAACATTTGTCGGTTTTGTTTACATGTTTACATGGGCCGCATTAAAACTTGCCTTGGGCCGCATGCGGCCCGCGGGCCGCGGGTTGGACACCCCTGTTGTAGACTATAAATTCCCACTGTCATTTTTCTTTCCTTAAGCTCCAGAACACTGTTAGAAAAATGAAATTCAAACCAGATATGAAATACTTAGTGACAGGAGGTCCCGATTAGCTATATTGGAACTTCCGATTTGCATTGAAAATCACATTGTTTCAATTCAAAATTTTTCCCTGAAAGGAGTTAGATCACCGGTACAACTCTATTGTTAGCAGGAAAGTATGACGTACAGGGACACGACAGTACTAGCTTGAGATCGAGAGCATATATTTTAAATTAAATAAGTTAAAAATATGATTAAAAATTTCAGCCCGGCATTGTAATGATATTACAATAAAATAATTGCTCGTTATTTCTTTGAATTTTGAAGAAGTATAAAGGAGAGGCACAAGGATTGGGAGAATGGGAAAGAGGAGACACAGCCTTCTTGATTATCAATATGTATATGTATCGGTATCAACCATAGTTATCTGTCGGAAAAATCAGCCTCCTTGTTCCCAATGATAAATGTCTAAATACAGCCTGGGGATGGATGCCAAGGAACTAGCAATAGCTTAAAGAAATATGACGGAAAAAATGTCTGGCTTGATCGGGATCGCAGACCGATCGTGATCGAGCATGTCTAATTTTTGTACACCAGAAAAGAGGAAATATCCATTGCATGTCTACAGGACTATCCGTAAATTACGCAATGAAGATATGGGTGGGTAGATAATCAGGTAATTGTTACAATGCGTAGCAAATAGGTGAGAATGTGGTTTTTACAAAAATGCTACGTTATGTTAGGGTCTGTATCTCAATCCTTTGGTAACAAAATTATTTGTTTTTGTTTGAAGTGTTGTATAGCGAACCATACTGTTTGCCACAGTTTTGTGTACATACTGTATACATGTATTAATAATTAATAAAATGTAAGGTTTAGTATCTCGTCCTATGTATTGTTTTTTTAGTACGATTAAAGTGTTAATTTGAGGATGTATATAAGTTATGTAATTTGTGGACGATCCCTATTCATGTTTGAAATGTAAGAAATTTTCTTATATTCTGGTCAATGATTATCCTGAGAGGAAAAGTGATAGGTCACATATACTCATTTTTTTCTTTTTTTAAATTAATCTGTTAAAAATTTATAATTTAATATATGTAACCGAAAGCTTTCCTACCGAATGTAAAGGAAGTATTAAAATTGTATTTTTAATATTTCCTTTCCGTATTAGATCAAACAAATCCAAATAATTACAGGCCCGTGATATAAGAAAATTTTAATATGCTTTAAAATACTTTAAAGAGGATTGATATAGATAACTTTCTGTTTGCCTTTAGAAAAGACATAGGTACTTTAGAAGCCTTATATATTTCAAATAATTTAATTCAATTCACAGTAATTTGAGAAAAGAAAGAGTAAGCCAAGGCTTCCGATATTTTTAATCCATTTTTGTTAGTTGAAAAGCTACGTAATACATATCTAAATGTTAAATTTATAAACCTGATAATTAAATTACAAATTTATTTGCTTTAATACATCAGAATGGATGTTATTTTCGTGAAATTAAAACAAATGTGGTTTAATACATGGTGATCCTCTCAACTGGTTTCTCTTGTTTCATACAGCACACTCGATTTAATAGGCAAAAAATTTCTGTGTTAATAAAAAAACTTTATAATTCTCTCTATTTTTTTAAATTCCTGGAAAGAATACGCTAAAGCAGGGGTGTCCAACCCGCGGCCCGCGGGCCGCATTCGGCCCAGGGCAAGTTCCATTGCGGCCCAATAAACGTGTAAACAAAACCGACAAATTATTTTATTTTATTTATTTTTTTATTTCAATGGCATAAACTCAAAATAGAAGGTTCACAAAGCCGTAAACTTTTATACATATTTTACTTTTGAGTGAAAAGGAAATATTTTCAGATACTTGGAGATGTGTGAATGACGAAGGAATACTATATAAAGCTGGAGTTGTGACTCAAGGGATTATAGACCCAAATTTAATAAAAGGAGAGAAAGCCAAAAGATAAAAAGGTTAAATAGATCTTCTGTTATGCAAATATTGACCCTTAATTTCCAACTTTCCTCAATACTTTTTATCTTTTGACCTTTCTTTCCTTTTCTCAAGTTTAGGTCTATAATCCTTTGAGTCACAACTCCAGCTTTATATAGTATTGCTTCTAGCATTGCAAGATTTGGCTACTTTGCGCCAAATTTGGCTACTCTTTTTTTAGTTTGGCGTAAAAATTATCATTTGGCGCATTGGCTACTTTCTGGGCTACATATTATTTATAAATATATAGTCGAATAAAAATGCACTTTAATTAATGAATTAAAATGATGTTTCGTCGTTTTTTTTTATTAATTAGAGACCGAAATAAAACAAATATTTGTGTTTTTCAAATGAATTTTTGTTTGTCTCCTTTATAATAAACGAGTTTATCTATTTCTAAGTAAAAATTGAAAGTGTTTGTAGAAGTAATCTTTTAAAATATCCTTTTCCGTAAAAAAGTTTTAATACTTATTACTATAATCTAGACATGCTAATCTTAGGTCGCAAATATATTAAATATACTTGTGGCCCAAAACGCCATGACTTCTTCCAATGTGGCCCAGAGGAACAAAAAGGTTGGACACCCCTGCGCTAAAGGATGGATCAATAAATCAGAGTATAAACTATTCATTATAAGCTTACATTATAATAATAATTTAATACGTCCTATACGTTGTAAGTTCGTTATTAACATATTATTTTAGAATACATTCGATTTAACGGACTTTTGGTAATAACGGACATCTTTTCTCCTAATTAGTCTGTTAAATCGAAGTAGTACTGTATTAATAATGTCAGAGATTGTGTGAGGATCACCCGTGAGATTGAATCACGGACCCAATATCGTATATAGCACGCGGTTGACACTTTCCTTTGGCGGAAGAGAGTAGTCGTTCAGGATGTTGGGAGGAAGTAAACGGTGTATGGGGGTACGGAGTGGGCACTGTGGCAAGAACTCCGTTTGTTATTAAAGCCCGTTTATTAGAATACAAAAAGACATTTTACAAAATTTATGAGCTCCTAAATTCTAGCACAATAACTGCTCAAGGGTGGATGAGTCGGGTAAATAGGGTAACGATATTCTCGGTGGTCAACGACTGCGGGATAATTCTCTCTTTCCCTCTTCCGTCGGCGATGGTGAGGTAATATCAACAATGTCTTCTCGAGAACGACATACCAAAAGAGCAGTCATCTTTCGGAGAGGATAGCCGTTGGATTTGTTTATTAAATTGTCGCCATTTCCGCCTAAATCAAAGCAAAACTCTTTTACCCTAAAGTCAGCCCCAACATTTTTACATTTATGAAGTAGAGAACCTTGAAATGTCGAGAAATGCAAAAAGTTGGAATATAAAAGTTATTTTACAGTAAAATCTCATAATAGATGGCGGCATACAATTTTATTTATCATGTTTAATAGCATAAACTTATTTTTTAGCAACTCGTTGCTAGATTTTTTATTTCACTGTTCGCATAGGTGAGACGGATTGCATATTGAATAAATTATAATACATTTTTTGGTTCTGCATAGAGATTTAACAGGCTACAGGATCACTTTAAAAGTTTGCCCTCCAGCTGATAACAATTTTGAAACAGTTTCTCGGAGAGTGAAGGGTGTTTCCGAAATCTCTTGTCTAGGAAAAGCATACGTGCAGATCACTACGTATAAACCAATTTTACGTATAATCTCAATCTGGTGCACACTATTCTCTTATACTCTTATACTTCCCTTCATGCGTTTATAACAATTTTACATTCGTAAACTTCATTCTAAATTTAATTAATTCAGGCATTTTTGTCAGATAGCAAAGATGATTGCAAGAGAAAGAAGCTATTATTGGTAGAAGAAAACAGACTGACAATTTGCTTAACATTTAAGTATATGACAAAATGACGGTGTTTTCTTTACGAAATGTGACTATTGAATTCTTCTCACTCCCAGTAAAAAGAATTCAATAATTATTCAATAAAATAATTTAATCGATCGTATATTAAATTTGAATTTCATACTATTTCGGTATTTTGTAATATGGTAATTTGTAAAATGTCTAATTATTAATAATTTGTAATAATAATTGTACGTCGCAGACATATTATTAACTATAATCTGTATGTATAAATAGATAAGATATATAGGATACTAATTAAAATAAGTAATCTTAAGTGTTAATAATTTCATGTTATGAAACTTTTGGTCTAACTACTTTTTTTGCTTCGATGATCTTTATATTTCAAATAATGTTATGATTACATTACCGTATTTTTGATGATTATTATTAAATAAAACGTTCGTTTTTCAATAACAGGAAGGAGAAATGTTTTCATAATTTCTAAATCCTAAAATATTTTCTTTTAGACTATCCTGATCTCTAAGCCTGCCAGTGTGAAAAAAGTAAAATATCTCAGCACAATTAATTATTTGTGTTCATACTGTATAACCTACTTATTAGCACAAATACTACTACAGTACATACTATACAGATAAACAATGCAAATAGTAAACAGCATAGACAAAGTTTTTTTTTAATTATTTTAAATTCAAGATTATTCATTTAAAAATTAAAATTTAGTTATTTAGTTAGCTTATATGTAAAAACGAAATTTTTAATAAGAGCGCAATACTTTATTAAGATAAAATAATTTTAATTTTTAAATGTTTGCTAAAAATAGTTTTAAACGATTCAACCGAAAGAAATATAATTCGTGTGCATGAATTATTTAAATTATTGTGCTTAGAGAGTCCAGAAACCACAAAATTATCGATATTGGTATCATGAGTAGTTTTAAAGTATCGATACCGGCCAGTATCGGCATCGGTATTGAAACTAGATATCATGCCGGCTGTCGATGTTCATTCTGACACGTCGCATTCCAGTTGTTTTTACATTTGAGAAAGTACTGTACTCATTACAAGGAAGGCTGAATGGCAATTACAACCAAACAGCAATTAATTGCTTGTTGGTTACTCCAAGAAATTGAATCTCGACTATCTGGATCAGATTTCAGTGCGTAGGCCAGTTAGATGTCTCGTATCATGCCTTATATGCACAAAAGAAGCCTCAGTCCTACAGTTGTACTAATAAACTAATGTGAATACTACGCTACATCGGATAGGGACAGATAAGAAATCGTTGGTAAAGAGATAAAAATAGTGTCTTTACATTGAAAGCAATTTATTGTGTTCAAATTCAACAAATACTACAGATTTTGTTTCTCTTTTAAGGACATTAATTGTATTTAACTAAACAAATAAACAAAGTGTATTTTTGAGTACATCAGTAATAATAGGCCTACGTTTAAAAGGTTTTCAGTGAAATTAAACTTCTCTCGTACGTACATACTTAATTTTAATTACACAAATGTGTCTACAAAAGTAAAACTAACTGATTTGTCAACTTTTTAAGACGCGCATTGAAAAAACATACTTTATTATATAACGAACTTTCGGCTTTAACAGACACTCCTCACCCGAATTAGTCCGTTAAAGCGAGGTTTACTGTACTCCATATGTTTAACTAAATATTTATTTATAAACAGTAATCTGAACACTAAGCATATAGATTATGAAAATAAAATTTGACGTAATAAATTGATTGATTTTTGGTCATTAATTAATATTTAGCCCACTATATAAGTTTAACTTAACGGAAAATAGTGTAAGAATGGTTTCGGTTTCTGATTTGACTATAAATTCGGAATTTCGGTCGGACCTTATTTTTCTGTGAAAAATGTAACAATACCAGATCCAATATCCGAAGTGAAGTATCGATACCGGTATTGGTATCGGACCAAACGTATCGAGTACAAAAAAGTACTCGGTTTGAAGGAAAGTATCGATACGGTATCGGTATCAGCAATATCGGGACGTCCTTAATTGTATTTATTAATTAATTCACAATTATTAAAGTTATTGTGCATTTATTAAATTGGTAAATATGCAAGCTAATATACACCTAATGTGTATATTTACATATAAATTAATAAAATTATTTTACCTTTCTTGACCTCATAATAATTACTGTTAATTAGTCGAGTCCACGAATATATAAACAAAAACATAAAGAACATTCCACATATGACTGTAAACCGAAGTCTCCAATTGCGTGAAGTCAATTTTATTCGAAACGTACGTCTATCCCATATAAAATACATCATATTTTGACTAACGATATCCACTCTTTAGAATGTATAAATACGTGTTCTATATTATATAGAAGATATTAATAAATATGAATATATTAATTTCAATTCATTTAAATATCCTTTTAAATATAGATCTTTTCAAGCAGAAAAAATTTCCGTCGCATATAAAAATTGCGACGGAATTACTGGTAAAGCAATTATGTTACACGCACACTCAATTTCATCTACACGATATTGTGTATCCTATTGTAGACATGGTAACATTAATATATAATGTATAATATAGAATGAGAATGCTAGTAGTATAAGCTAGGGCAGTGTTTCTCAACCTCTAACGAATCGTCGCCCCCTTCACTACAAAATTCCGATGCCGAGGGCCAAGGCTAACGCCAAATTCGTACTACATTGAATAGACTAGTGACTAGTATAATGTTATTTGTTTAATTATTGTGCGATATAACGAATAAAATATCTAATTATTCTTAATATAATGCTTTACTATATCGCCCAGAAAATTGTTTTTCGACCCCAAAATATAAATTGTTATTAATCGCCCCTCAACATGGAAAAACGCCCACATGGGGGCGATATTCCCCCCGTTGAGAAACACTAAGCTAAGGGCTTCCAACGAGGTTGGGGTTGACCCCTTAGGGATCGATAAAACTTTGTAAATATTAAAAATTTCATACTTTTTTTTGCTCTCAAATAAATGTAGGAGCGCTTTAAATTATATATGAAGCTGTTGCATATATTTATATATTATTTTATTATGTAATACTAAACTATTCTATTGATTTGTTAAATTGTAGTAACTTCAGTTATGTAATACTTTAACCTCTTGTAACGAACTAAGGTTCATACAATAGAGAATTGAATTGAATTGAATATATTTATATATACAGCAGAACCCCGTTTATCCGGATCTCCGGTTTATCAGGAATAAGAAAGACAGACATACGGAATGACTATATAAGCGAAAAAAAATCAAAGAACTATCTTATAAGTATTAGGTTCTTGCCTGAGTATAAGTTGCAACTGTAAGAATAATGTTTTTACTTGGCTCAATGCCAATTTTGAACACCCCCGATTTTATAACCGAGAATCTGGTAACAGAAATAAATAGAGTATAGTATATCAAAATTTCGTTCAAATTAGTCCTTTGGTTTCTCTACGGAATGCCAAGCCTAATTACCGGTCGACCTTGAAAAAATCATAAAAAGTTCTACTCCACATAAATAGTCACGAATAAAATAAATTACCATTTTAGTCTTTTTTTAAACCAGATCTAGTCTTTTATTTTTCATTTTCGATTTGGTTTATAGTTTAAATATTTAGTTTATTCTTTTTTCTGTGTATTTTTTACAATACACTTTTACTGTATTAATTAATTAAAAAATTTTTGTTTTTGCGTTTCATAATACGCAATGTTATCAATCGTAACATGATTATCAATTTATACCATAATTTGCAGACTGTGATAATAAATTTGAGCGTACCATAATCGAAAATTATAGCATTATTTTGTCATTTTAGTAAATTTCTTTTTTAATTTGGTACAAAATCCACAACAAGATATTTTAATTGAAGCGCAGCGAGCAAGCTTCTTTGGTAGCGACTAGCGACTCAAATTGCCAAATCGTCGAAACACATCTCGCGATCCGATCCGAAATAAATTTTGCACTAGAATTAATAAAGTGGCGTGTCGTGACGGAAGCCAAATTTTAAAGTTCGACCTAAAACTGGAGATTTCGGGTCATCCCCATGTAACTTCAATAGGAAAATTTTTCATCGTAAAACGAGCAGGTGCTACTCGCGTGATATTCGAAATGCGGCAAAGTTCTTGCCAAATTTTTTAAATACCGATCTTTTTTCTTATTTTTCCGGAAAATTGAACCTACATATCTTAACGTATTATACCTTGCACAAAAATCCTTTTCAAAGAACAATTAATAAAGACATTGAATTTCGGATTCCCATTTTAAGTCTATAGGAAAAATTGCAATTGAATTCTATTAATTATTTTTGTGGTTATTTTTATTTTTTGTTAAATACAGGAATATTTTAAAACACATTAAAAGTGGCACATGTAAATTTATATCCCCACCGCGTCGACCGTTTATTATTTAAGTTAAGGAAGTTTTAAAACAAATGTAAGAATTGGCTGCTTTACATATGCAGAATGACGAGTCGCTTTAATTTTGTAATAATTACACTCATATTTTTTATGTATTATAGGTAATATTTTAATTTAATTTACCTGAGGGGGTTATTTTTCATTGTTTTTAAAATGGTTTATTTTTTGGTTTAATGACGTAAAAATTTGGTTTATTTCAGTCTTTTTTGATCCCATTTCTGGTTTATTTTGAATAAACAGCGATGGTAAACTGGGTCGGGAAACTTAAGTACAGTACGTGTACTGTACCAGCTGAGAGAAAACAACGAACTGATACTGTACTGTACGTAGATGTCTTGCTTTATACTGTTAATATTTTTGTAAAAGTATATACTGTATATTGTGCAATAAATGAAATATAAGGTAGATCTAAATTGTTATTTACGTCGTTAACGAATTTTCGGGTTGAGTGAAAAAATATTTTACAAAATTTAGAATTTAAATGTAAAATTAAAGTTTCTTTAGAAATGACTAATGTTTCTTTACCAGTAGATTGCACAATACAGTATGTTCATTATTTATCAGATATGAAGAAACAAGTGGAAATTGACTTACACTTACCAGTTTTCTTATGACACTTGACATACGAAGGCTGTTTCTTTTTCAAACTCCGATGGTCCTTAAAACAAAGACAAATGTAAATAACAAAATGAATTTATTACCAAAAGTTAGGTACAAATATGGTTACTTTTCGACATAATCACCGTGAAGATTGAGGCAATTGTCTATCTGTGGACGAGCTTTGCAATCCCCTCTTCACAGAATGTTGCCACCAGTGACTTGAGATGGGCCTTAACGTTGTTTTGAAGATCGTCATTAGTCTTCAATCTCTGTCCTTCTAGCCACTTTTTCTGTTCAGGAAAGAGGTGAAAGTCTCTGGGCGCTAAATCGGGTGTTTAAAGGTGGTGAAGACTTCCGCCCAGCTTGGAACTTTTTAATGTGTGAAGACTTCAACCTCTTTCCAAAACTGAAAACATGGCTAGGAGGGCAGAGTTTTGAGGCTAATGACAATCTTCAAAACAACGTCGTTAAAGCCATTTTAATTCACTGGTAGCAACATTCTATGAAGAGGGGATGGCAAAGCTCGTCCACAGATAGACAATTGCCTCAATCTTCACGGTGATTATGTCGAAAAGTAACCATTTTGTATCTAACTTTTGGTAATAAATTCATTTTGTTATTTACATTTGTCTTTGTTTTAAGGACCATCGGAGTTTGAAAAAGAAACAGAAATAATACTATCATTTTTTTTAAATTATGATAATTTTAACTGATATTCTTTTTAAAAAAACGCCGGGCATACGAGGTGGTTAAGGTGTCACTTTAGAGCCCTGGGAAATCCGGACTCGAATCCGAAGGGCCATCAAAACAAACATAACTAGGTTCCATTCCCCTTCGTTTTCTGTTTAGTTCTATTTCCACAATACAAGAATAACGCGAGCAATTAGGTCGACTGTAGCTTAAATACTCCAATTAAGACTGATATCTTTTGTCTGTCTATTTTATTATAAAGGAAAGAATATTTCCTGACTTATTCTGAAAACAATTTCAATTCTTCACTTCGTATCGCTCTTTTCTATAATTAGTTAATTATTGACTTATTGATAATCTTAATATTTATAAAAACAAGAAAATTTTTAACCAAAAAACACAAATAATATTTTTATACTACTATTAAAAGGATTGAGAACGGTTCATAGTTTAACAGCAGCATGGAGTTCAAGATCGCGATTTGTCGCTGGAATTTATTATTTGTTTTACTCTCCACCCTATCTATAGGTTTTAGACTAAAGGCTGGTTTCTACATCATTGGAAAATACATCAGAAATAGAAAAGTGATGTTACTTTCCGTCCAGAAGTTTCCGTTCACCAAAAAAAGAAAAAAGTTACGGAAAAATGAAGTATTTTCTACTCTAGATTTCGGGTCTAGAGTAGAAAATATTTCAACTTTTCCGTTGTCCGCTGGTCTTCCGCCGTGTTTTGACCAATAAAATATATATATATATATATAATGTTATAACGTAGTAGGAATGTTATGTCTTGTTGTATCAAAGGATAATAACGGACTATTCGATGTAACCAATACGGCTTTTTTATTCCTTTGGTGTTGCGTGAAATAGGAAATATTTTGATTGACAGACACTAGAGCCACACGGAATACGATTTATAAATATATATGATATATGGACATGAAGATCGTACATTATATCCATAAGCAGTTTCTTTATAAAATTTTACTTTTATATTTTTAAAAATATATCGTATTTAAAAAAGAAAATTCTGTGTCATATTTAAAAATAAGAAATAGATCAAAGTATTTAAGTTTTTTATTGATTATCTACGTAACTGACAAAGGCACTATAGAATGTTTTTATACACAAGAGGAACTGATACACATGTTATTACATATAGAAAATATTTTTAGTTTATAAAAATAAAATTGGTTTTAAATTACAATAAATTGATTTGACAAAAAATACTAAGTTATATTGAAATCATTATTTTTGTTGGAACTAAAACACAGTTTGCATAAAATATTCACACAGTAGTCATTAACATAAAAGAAAATAACAATTTTCTGACTAGAATTTAGCGTTGATTAGCAGCAGAACTCTTAAATTAATTAATGCTCAATTAAAGTCTAAAAACATTAAAGGTTTTTAAATTTGAATTATTCAAAAGAATTATAAATTATTATTTACCATATTCATTCTTATAAAAGAATATCCTATATTTCATAATATGGAACAAC